ATGCTGAGGCGCTGAAAACGCGGTTAAGTAACATCGCCACTGTTCGCTAAGCGACGAGGACTTGTGCACTGTGCCGAGGGTCCCTGTGGACCTTGGTGTCAAGTCTCTTGCCTTTGGTAGCGTGAAACGCTGTCTCGTTGTAGACTTCGATGTAAGGTATGACTTTATTCTTCGTATGGCATAGTGGGAACCCCATGAGCTATGAATTGATTGAAGTTCAAAAACCTTGGGCGCTACGCGCACGTCTCCTGGTGGAGCTTTGGTGAGTCGTGAACCCACCTCTGTTAAGAAGCAGAAGTGCTATTGGCGCGGGCACTGGACTGGGACGGTCATTGTGCTAAATATCGGAGTATCCGATTTGTCAAACACCGAAGGTGTATTGGACAAGAGTCCCGAGCATGGCTCGCGGGCTGGACGTGGAGTGACACGTAACCCACTGAGCGCTGCTCAGGTATCGGAGCAGTCGCGGTATGCTAAGGAGTGGCATGGTCGGACGAGGGCCGAGTCATTAAGGGCGAGATCCTTGTCATGCACTTGAGTGGCACGAATCCCACTGAGCACTGCTCACGTATTGAAGCAGTTGCTGTATGCCAAGAGTGGCATAGTCAGACGAGGCCCGATGCATCCTGGACAAGGCCCTTCTGGTGCGAGTTGAGTGACACGTTATCCACTGGAGAAAGTCTGCGGACGTGACAGCTCTTTTTCGGATGTTGTTAATAACAATGGAGCAGGGAATAAGGACACTGGACCACGCCGAGTGCATGTTCCCACTGATCTCGATAAGACGTGAAACTTCTATAGTGAAGAGACGGCAAAGCCGTATGATATTTGCAAGACGCAGGGCGTCGACCCTTACTCAGGGTGTGTCTGCCGTAGACGATAGCGCACACCCATATACCCTAGTCAACGGTATGACGGGAGAGAAAAACGGCAACGTCACCCTCGATGCTATTCCCGCGGTGGATGCTCTTCTTGAGCTGGATGAGATGTCCTTCGAATAGTTTGGCGGTGCCTTGAAGGCAGACAATGTAGCCGAGGTGGTCATAAGAATCTGTAAATTCGTCGTTGCTTCTGGATGAAGCTGTCCTGAAGGACACTAAGAGGGTGCTGAACGCACGAAGTGAATCATTAATCCTGAAGGATCGCTCGGATCCGTATTATCCTATGGAAAAGGAATTTCAAGATGACGTTTTCAAAGACTCGCCGTCGGTCCTACCTCCAAACCGAGGTGAGATTGATTCCGGGAACCAACTACTGCGTAACACGCCGATTGCACCTGCCCAAAGAGCAATGTGACGTCATTGACGTCTTTTTCCGCCCGAAGCACGACCAGGAATGGTGCATAAGAGCAAGTCTCCCTATTCGACGCCCACGTCTTGTGTCCGGAAGTCAAACGGCAAGTGGCGTATCGTTCACGCTTATAATAAGCTAAACGCTGCCATTATTCCGATACAGACGTAGAAAATATGTTATTTTAAACAATAAGGTGTACATAGTACATCGCACTCGACTTGGGCGACGGTTTCTACCAACTGCTGATGAGAGCGAGTGATATTCCGCTGGCAGCGGTGAAAACTCCGAATCGGATGCTCTGGGAGTGGCTGGTGATACTCCAAGGGCTGTCAACAACATGTTATCGTTTTGTGACGCAATCGTTTAGGCCCTACCGGGCGTATGCACAGATATACTTCGACGACATCTTCGTCCACAGTCGTGCGGGGCACGGGAGGACAGATGTGGAAAAACACATCGTTCATTTAACAGCGTTACTCGAGTGCATGCGCTCGAATAAACTGTTTGCTAATTTCGGTAAGGGTATCTTTGGCGCGGAAGAAATTCCTTTTCTAGGGTGCTTCATTGGGAAGCATGGCCTTCGAGCGAATCCCGCTAAGGTCAAGTCCAATATGGACTGGCCGGTTTCAAGGAAGCACAAGGACTTGCGCAAATGCCTTGGCCTCGCCAGCTACATGCCTAACCATAGCGCAAATTATGCGGAAATGGCACAACCATTGTCTGATCGTCTCAAGATAGATAAAGAATGGTGTTGGGACACCGAACATCGGGAGGATTCTGACAGAGTCAAAGACAGCCTTCTTCATAAACCAATACTGGCGTTGTCAGTCCTTCTAGTGTCGTCTGTGACGCTTCGGACTTTGCCATCGCTGCAAACAGACGCCGATGGGCGAGATCGGGTGATTGTATTCGAATCTCGCCAGCTTAAAGCTGCGGGTAGAAATCCAGTTCACAACAAGGAATTACTTGCGACGAAGTATGCAGTTGTCAAACTCATTGTGCACCTGCTTAGCTCAGAGCCGATTGTGATCAAAATAGATCATGCGTCCTTACGCACCGCGACTCAATCGCGTCTCTTCTCGCAAAGGATGGCGAGGTGGCTCTCTTTTTTTGCAGAATTTAACTCCAAAGTGAAGTCTACAGCAGATTTTTTTACTGATGTATTGTCACGCAGACCGGACTCTGAGCCTGCTCATTTCACGACGGCGATGTCGTCAGTGACGGATTTAATCCGCGCCGTATACGCGGGTGATAGTATGTGTGTAGCGCTGCTACAGGCTCTGGGGGCATATAGTTAAAAAAAACTCGGGCAAGAAATTGTCGGCGCGTTTGCGCGCACGGTTACACCGGTATTCGTTGAGTAACAGCTTGCTGTATCATAGCATCGATTCAGCGAAAATGTCACAAATTGTGGTTTCTCAAGATGAGCATTTAAAATACCGTATCCATATGTGCGGGTCACGGTAGGTCATTGCAGTCGTGAGAAGATGTACAGCTCTGTGCGTTGCCACTATTGGGGGTCCAAGCTGTACAGATGGACGAGCTCATGTGTGAGACGTGTCAGAAACCTACTTCGAATGCGGCGGCGCCGCTGACACGTTTAGCGGTAGCCTCCGGGTGTTTGCAGTCCATGAATATGAGTTTTGTCTCTGGCCTGCCGAAGAACTCGGCGGACAACACGGATGTGGTGGTCTTTACGGTGTGGTTACAGCGACGCTGTTTGTGGATCGTGTCTTTCGACAACTTGGACTCCCGGAGACAATTGTCTCTGATAGAGACCCGCGCTTCACTGAGAAGTTTTGATCTACATGCTGGGCACCAAGTTGACAATGGCAACAGCAAACTATCCGCAGACTGATGGTCAGACTGAGCGCGTGAATTGCGTTGTTAAAGACGATTTTCATAGCGTCTGCGCTGAGACACCGCAGCGCTGGAGCGCTATGATGCCACTCGTAGAGTTTTCTCTGAACAATGCAGTGCATTCATCTACCGGCTATACGCCGTTCTGCGTGAACGGGCTTGTTAAAACTTGCGTCCCGCTGAGGCCATCATGCCATGAATCAGGGCTTGGTGGGAGAGGAATAATTAAAAGGCTAGCTGATATCAGCCCCCTCATTGTGCGTAAAGAAGTCGGAGGATTCCTGTCTTACGACACGTTCGCGATGCGATAGCTGAGAGTAAAGAATACAGAAGGAATACGCAGACGGAAAAGGAAGAAGAAACGTTGAAAATTTTAAGGTCGGAGACCTGGTTTTATTTCATGCTTAATCCTTCCTACACATGCAATTCCTGCTGTCTTTAAGACGAAGCTCCGTCCACAGTTTATTGGACCTTTTAAGAACGTGGACAAGCGAAACCTAGCGTATACGCTGAACCTTCCGAGAAAGATGCGCACCCACACGGTGTATTATGCGGGCTTGCTTAAGCCATACGGAGATTCGGCGCATGCGAACGCGGAAGCGTTGGCGCCGGGGCGACGTCCAAAGACGCTCGGCCACCCAAAAGTTGAGCCTACATCTTTTTCTGAGCACGGATTGCAGCAACATCCGTTTCCAACGGCGAAGGAACCCCACCGTCACACGAAGAGACGTATTCGTCCGCTTGACGGCTAGGAGCCACTCCGACAGAGCACGATCACCTCAATGCGACGCAGTCGGTGCACAAAGTGCTCAAGCTGTCGAGGTCTCCTGCACAGCGGTAGGCGACCTCGAAGAGATGCTCGGCAGAGTGCTGATGACGACAAACTTTGTCCTCCAATGCTCGAAGAGCATAGCGAGTTACCATCCGCCGCCGACTCTTCTCGATAAGAATGGTGGTATCCACTACCACGTGTAACGCATTGTGGGTTGACATCGTCGACGGCGTTTAAACCAATATCAATGCGAATTGGCGGGGATACAAGCTCCGAGTACTCGTAGGAGGCTTAGGTGCCACTTCGGCAAGTAATACCTAATTAATATAGCCACTACTGGCAATCCTCTTCTTGTTACGGTGTAGCCAGCCACACCACTGTTTTATTGTACTAACTGCGTATTACACACCTATGTATGGTCACAATCTTGTGCGACCCGCCCGTCCGTACAAGAGCAATTGTAACCCCGTAACATGTTCTACCGGCAGAGAAATACGAAGCACCTAACTTCTTTACTTGCGATCGGCACAGGGTACGTGGCGTTCCAGTCACGCCACACCTTGGATGAGATTGCATTACAAATTCAGGTCCAAAAACTAGAAGATTGATTTGAAAGTCCTCAATATTCCCTTAAGGTCAAACGAAACTTGTAACACTTTCTCCGCTAGATGTCATTGGCCAGAGTATAAGGAACTTCTTTTGCATTAGTTTGCCGTGCGTCTACTATAACTCAACATCTTCCTTCGAAAATGCTGGCCAACTTGTTAAACAATGCCTACGAGAATTGTAGAGTTGAGAAAAATAAGGAATTTCAAGTGCGGCCGAAGAGTGCTGGAAGGGAGGGACACATTGATGAAAGGCGGCCTTTTAATAAGTGCAAGTGATGGTGAAGACATTATCTATTGAAGCGAAGACATAGTCAACATATGTCAAGTGGTGACGAACGTTGTATCTATTACTCTAGGCGTTGAGCATGTAGTTCATGAAGGTGTAGATAGCATCGAATGAATAAGTAAATTTTTGCTATCACTTCATGTTCAATCGTCACAAGCTCCCGCTGACATTTGTCATAAAATTATAGATTGCGACATCCCGGAAAGATTCGAAGATTCGTGGAAAGAAGATCTGAGATAATACCGGATCCGACCATCGTCTGAGTCGAAATCAGCTACTTACCATTTTCATCACTGCTTAATTCTATTCAGCAGTTTGAGCTCACCGAGGTAGAAGTGGTGCCGGAATCAAAAGTCGGATTCACGATCCGTTCGCAACGCTGAACTGACAAATTTGCATCTGCACACTTTGACTCATCATTGACTTCGACTCTTCGCTTAACTTTCAAAAGTGGTTCAAATTTTGCGCCAAATTGAAAGTCAGCCAAGTTATGATTATTTTTACGAAATTTGACCATGTGAACCAGCTTTATATTCTTTCGCAGGTTTTCTGCCAACGTCATTTTTCACAACCTTATGCTAAACAGATACCAGCAAAGTCGAAAAAACATTAAAGCATG